GTCATCCTCGGCGTTGCAACCTTGTGCTCCAGGGCATGCGGCTCCTTTCGCGGAGGCGTGCGTGTGCGTTGAGCTGGTGAGCGAGGTTGTGACGTGTCTGGCCCAGTCTTTGTCAGCTGCTCTTGGCTCGGGGCTCTGAGTCGCTGGTGGCTTTGGGCAGGGATGGAGATGTCATGAATCTCAGCCATGTCTCCAGGTCGTCCCAGCGGTTTGTGGGACTGTAGGACTGGAACATACTGGCTTCACTGTGGACGAGAGGAACACAACACACACAGACAGACCAATGCCAGTTCGACTACTTTTAACGAGCTATAATACAGGCTAAGCCGTGTATGAGAATTTTGGTTAACTGATGCAGACAGTTAAACCGTTTGGTGGGACAATTTGGGTAGGTCATCATGGGTCTGAATGAAGGTTTTTGACAGGGCGCTAGCTTAGGGGTCACCTGTTGGTGCTAACGACTTGGTTGTCAAACTATTCTTCAGCTTTCCTTGGTGTGTCAGAGAGGTTCTGTCTCTAAGTGAACTGAAAGGAACAGAGCACAACAGAACAGAGCAATGGCAATCTAGCAAAGTTTGAAGTAACATGCAACCATCAGAGATGGGGAGGTCTGTACTAAAATGGCAGTAGTACACCAGCAGTGTTAGAAAGGGGAAGAAGAGAAGGCCTAAGCCTGTTTGGAGCCGGTTTGTGGCTCGGAGAGGAGGAAGCCAACCACTTCAAATTACCAGGGGAATCTCTAGGTTCTGTGGCAAATAGTAAGTGGATGGGTTTTAATACCTTTTCTAGTTTGCCTGGGGTGAAATGAGGTCATTCTGGCCGGAGTCAGCATCGTGGTTGGTCCTTCTGTCGCCCCACACATGACAGCAGTGTCCCGGGCCTTTCGGTGCATCTGTACCGAGGTGCGCCCTCTCAAGCAACTTGACCTTGAACACAACCGGCGGTGCCAGATTGGTGATATCGTGTTGCGGGCCGCACCAACAGAAGATACAGAAAAGTCCGAGACTCGCGCTCAGTCAGTGATGGTGACGCAGATCAGACGAACCAGCTCGCTGGACCCCAGGCAGAGATGACTGTCAAATCATCACAGCACGAGAGAGATTTCTACTTGCAAACACAAAACAGAATGAAGAACAGTGTACTTCAATGTGAATTAAAGCTCCTTTATCTAAATCAAATTGAGTGTTTTTTTGTAGAAAAATCAAAGGCAACAGCTTTACTAAAATTATGGTATAAACAAAAAGGAAATTATGACAATGTTACTTATCAGAATAACCTAGCCTCCATTCAGGAAAGGGATAGAGTGCAGCAATGAAGCACACAGGAGGAAGCGAGCTGTAGTGGCGGGTTTTGGCCACTAAGGGTTTTGGTCCACTTCCTGCTAGTGTTTCACCGGGCTGACAGAGAGCTTGATTTAAATTGCATTCAAACTGATTTAAACACAATTCAAATTGAGCAAATGCATAGGGGTTAAGTAACCATTAGATTAGTAAGGATACAGTTGTACCGAGACCAGATCAAAATTATTAAAAATAATTTGAGGAGGAAATATAGAAATAAAGCCATAAACAATTCCCAATGGGAAATGAGAGAATTAATTCAAATTAACTTCGAAATTTGTCTGTTTCAAACCAAATTTGAATAAGTGTAGGAAATTAAAGGTTGGTGTCATATTTGATGATAATCACGATTACGGTGAGGGATCAGTGATAACCAGAATTAACAACAGTGAGAGAGCCATGCGAACAGAGTGAGGTTAGCTGATGACTTAGCAAAGGGACGGCCACAAGGGGCGCTTTCCTCTAAGTGGTCATCAGAAGCTGCTAAGACTTAATTCTGAATTTTAAATTCAAATGTCATTTGAACCAAATTCAAAACAAGTGCACACAGTCAAGGTAAAGAAAATCCTGTTATTACAATGAGGCTGTAAATTGCCCATGCATTGAAAGTTAGAGAAACTAGTTCAAAATTTCAGTAAGAAAATAGGAATTTTCTAACAGAGAATTTTGAGAAAAAGATGACCTAGCTGTTAGTGTCCACACGATAGCGCCACTGCGCTCACATGGGGTAAAGTCAGGCCACCGGTGGAAATTTGATACTGCAAAGCACTCAAGGGCGCACCCTAGTGTCTGGCAGTAGTATTACAACCAGCCCCCTGCCCCTGTGATTTATTCAGAGGGAGTGGAGCGTTACCTCCTCCCTGCTGTATAATCACAAATTTTACGGAATTTCAAATCTCAACGGATTTCTTTCCGGTACTATATTTTACAAGCACGTTTGGCAGGATTTTGTTTTTTTCGCTGCGTTGTGCAAAAGAAAACAGGAATTACTCGTCTGTTTCAAAACTCCAAATAACATTTATCAAAACTAGTATTAATGATTGGAATGTTTTCAGTTTTGGATTTTTTGGTGCTATATTTGTTTAAAACACGTTCGCAGGTTTTCTTCGCTGCATTGTGCAAAGGAAAACAGGAATTACTCGTCTGTTTCCTGCTCCAACAGGCATATATCAAATAGCACTTATGATAATATGCTTGGCGGTTTTATACATTGAGTAGCTAAGTCAATGTTTTTTTCAACCAGGAGCTTATCGTTACTCTAACGATTATAATATAAGGCCTTTTAAGAACAGTAAAAGAGCATCGTTTTACCGATCTTGTCTTCGACACTATTCGGAGATTTCGTTCGGACAGTGGAGTTAAAATTATTAAAAGTGTCGTTTATGCGCAGAGGTTTCTCTTCCATCTGTGCCAGAACAAATTTAATACTATGGAAACTGCAGTTTATTTTTAACAATTAACAGTGACTAAAATGTTTGAACATTTAGCAGCTTGTTAAATGTGCTTGACTGAGGCGGCTTTCGTGCCCAGATCAGTCATAT